CCAAGGAAGGCGTTCAAGCCACTGAGACACAAGGTTTTACTGGGGGTGGGAGAATTATGAAACAGAAACACCAGTAATGAGCGAGTACAGAAGAAGAGTAATCAGGAGGAGTGTAGACAGCGATTGACATTGAATCTAAATTTTTGAAGACTAAAGTTGTCTGGAAAGCATAGAGCTGGAAGCGAGTATCACAAGCGAGAAGTGCGAGAAAGAAACTGTCAGCATAGAACTTACGGTTACCTCTAGCCAACTCAACTGTATATTGATGTGACCGCGTTGCCTGACTAGTACTGCGCTTAAATTCATAAAGTCTAGCTACCACAGCAAAAAGCACATCTGAAAAATTATCATGGTAGTATTTATAGAGAAAGGCTCAGGGTGACTACTTTACGGACTTGGGAAAGATGCGGAAGCCAAGACCCCATATCAGGACCAATACTATTGCTGATTCTTCTCTAGATTTTACCAAGTAGTTCTAGATATTCTCCTGGAGGATAGCACCCCCCATGCTGATTGAAGGCAAGAAGGGGTCTTTCAGATTTTTAATAGAGAGCAGCTTAGGTTTGGAGGCGTTAAAATTAACAAGCCATTCTTGGCGCCAGTTAACAACAGCCTGAAGATATTTCTAGACGCCAGCCGCCAATTTGATCTAAAGGAGCCGATTTCACTTACTATCGAGACAGGAGTAAATGGCTGTGTCGTAAGCATTGATGCGAAATTGAGATCTTATGCCATCGGGAAACTCATTGATGAAAATTTCAAAGTAGGGCCAACGATAGAGCCTTAAGAGAAACCTGAATTAAGATGAAAGGCTCTGGAAGTGTGGCCATTTAGGATAACTTTAATCTGACGATTTGACAAGACGGTATCGGTTCAAAATTTGTCCGGGGACGCTGTAACTTTCAATTTGTGAAGACTTCTATGCCAAAACCTGTAGAAAGAATAAATTGTCGTTGCTTACACTTGAGTTTAAACATAGATCGCCAGTGAGCAAACACAGGCGATCCCATTATTGTATTAAGTAGATCACGTGACCATAGAGGAAACACATATATGGGAGGTAACGTGTGTCTTATTGGCAAAGAGTATTTGTTGACATCGCAAAAATAATTTAAGCACATTCAACATTATAGATAAAAAATGGTTAATTTTAGATAATATTTTTTTGAGACTTAGCATGAGCAAAACAAATTCACGAATTTGGACGGGAAAAAATCCCCTGAATATCATCAAAATCTGTGAAAATTTGTCATCCTTCAAGTTCTGCATAATATTAATGTAGACAGAAAAAAATTAAATATTGATAAGATAGGGCAAGTCACAAAGCACTACCTGGGGTTTCCAATCAGGCTTGGGACCCTGGTCGATAGGCAAGATTCTTGATAATGACCAAGATGGTCAAAAGCACTTGAACAAAAACAATAGAAAAAACATCACCTTCAAATGCTAATGGTAATATTAACCATTTCCTTATTGGGGGGAGGTAATGCTAGAATTCAAATTAATTTAAATATATGTGTATTCTTTAAGTAAGATTATGTGTAAGACAGTTTCCTCATGCTTAACTGTATTGGAAAATATTTATATGTATTATAATTATTTTATATGCATATTTAATATTGCACACACATACAAATAATAAATGTTAACAGATGAATCAGTCACAGAAAATGATTAGAAAGTCTAACTAATAATAAAACAAAACAATTTGTTATACAGGAATAAAGTGTCGCTGCCGACACTTGGGTTTGAACATAGATCGCCAGTGAACAAACACAGATGATCCCATTATTGAATTAAGTGGATCACGTGACCATAGAGGAAACACATATATGAGAGATAGCGTCTGTCGAATTGATCGCTATTTCTAGTCTATCCTCTATACTTTACGGATCTGCATTTCTACTCTATCCTCTATTACTATACGGACCGCTATTCTCTACTCTATTTACTATACTATTTCTCTATTCGAATCACTATACAGTGGTTACTTTTCGAACGTGTATTATCGAGCAAGTTCTATAAGTGCAAGTGATATTCGAAGGCGTCTGACACCAGTATTATTCAACTGCTTTAATATTGTTGTCTGCGATTACAAAGTCTCTACTACAACGATCATTACGAAAATGACAACGAGTATTCGTTGACATCGCAAAAGCGGCAACGAGTTTGAGTCAAGTCACAAAATTTTCGTAATGTCCATAGCTACAGCCCGAGCTTCATCGTTCTTGAGTAGGATGTACAGATAATGTAAGGATAAAGACTCGGAATTGTTAATCGGAGTGCTAAGTTCCAATTCCAGTTTGTTTCGTTATATTGACATAAGTGCAAATACTCTTGTGACAATGTATGAATTCCCGTTCTTTCTCCCTTCTATAGGTTAATTAGTAAGACTTCTACTACTAAATGTGTTATGGGACCTTACCGATAATAACATAAGGGACTATTCCATACGTAATAAATACTGCGCCTCAAGAGGAAGCGGGGAGTTCAGTCTGAAGTCGGACGTCCGGCTGATCGGCTGATCGATTGAACTCTCTGCCTTCGGGCGGGGAGGAACCCGAACGAGGCTACGCCGAAGGGCGTAGTCTCTTTCGGGGAGGTAAACTGACCCTGAACCCGTTTATACGGGTTCAAAGGGCATATTTTTTCCGAGCACACGGGCTCGGAGATCCCACGCTAAACCGGCCTTGTGCCACATGATATCCTCGTGCGGGGTTGACTAAATACTGTTCAGTCTGAAGTCTGGAGTCATGTCCGTCAGAAGTCTGCCAGGAGTCAGTCAGTCAGAGCGAGCGAGTCAGTCAGTCAGTCAGTCGAGTCAGAGGCAGTCTGAAACAGAGTCGCGTTCAGACAATTACTACAAGACATTGGAATAGTGATACTGGTCGAGACTACATTGTTCTCTCTACTAAACCTGATTGTTCATACTAACACTTTCTACTTCTCTGCATATATTCCTGTTTGTAATATATCTGTGTTATTCCATATCCGTGTTCGAGTTCTTCTTTATTGGTTCTACTTTGGACTATCACCCTGGTACAAGGAACCGGACCATAACGATATGTTCATATCTGCCCAAAGTATTTTCTAGCTTTAAATAATCTAGAATATTTACATTATTTAGTTTACCCGCAGTTATCCTCACCTCCATTGCTATATTCACACTGTTTCGGTCGTTGTACAATCAGACCATCTTCAGACCATAATTTCGAGTCAAACCCTTTATTTCGTTGACCGGGGTAGATTGTTCTAGCTCTACGTGCCATGCCTCTTCTTTAACTCAACTCTCCAAGTTTTGTTTCACCACTTCTCTACCCAGATATTGAACTCACAACTCTTTGGGTTTAGTCACTAAATCTAACCAACGCTTTTATCCTCTGGGCCATGAAATATGATAATAGGCCATAAAAAAAAAAAACAATCAGTCAAAGAACTTATATTTTAAATCATATTTAAACCATCTGGTCATCAACAAAGCGAGCGGCACGTAACATGTATTAAAAAATATAAAAAGTAGTTCCCAAATAGTTACCGTAATTCCCTATGTATAATACGCATTCATCCATAATACGCACCCCTAAATTTATGTTGAAAGTATAGGAAAATGCTTCTATTCATGCATAATCCGCTCCCTTTGTTTGGTAATCAAACCCTATAAATTGTACCTCTCCAATTTCATTACGGCCAGCGTCTCCAACTTTTATTTTTAAAAAAATGGTTTTAAACATAGAATAATATTATTATAATTCAGTTTTATGATAATTCTTATTTTATTTTACATCTTTAAGCATTGTTATGTACATATGATTGTATTTAACATCTTTATGGGGCTACAATCGCCGAATGTTAGTGTCAAATTGTCGTATGTTTGTAGTGAGTAGTCATTTCGCAACTGAAATCGACCTAAGAAACGGCAATTTTTTGAAAATATTTTTGTACTGTTCATAATACGCACCCGTAATTTGCCTATTATTTTTTTAGAAAAAAAATGCGAATTATACATGGGCGATTAATTATTTTTTGTTTCGCTGTACCTTGTTAATTCTCCCTGTGAACATTATTCGACAGTGCATAATCCATTCGATTTTCGCCAATAACAGCAAAATCTTCAGTGTATAAAGACTGCACTCAGAAACATTTTCGATTTTATTTGCCCAAGGTCCATCTGTTCGACGCACAGTCTTGTCTCTTATTCAAATATTTATCCGAATCTACTCGATTAGACCAAAGCAAACACCAAGGACAAAGGTCTTATTGCTTGCTAAGGAATTATTTAACGAGCAAGCGACTCATTTCTTCGTCCCTGGCTGCAGAACACAGCAGGCAATGTCCGAGGTGGGCGTCATACCATCTCTTTATACTTACATTTGCCGCAACTAGGAAGAATCCAGTGCGTTATTGCGTTTAAACGTGGGTGAATAATTGTCCGCTGTGTATAATAAAACAACGTTTGCCTCGTGATGTTGGAAAACGTCGGTGTTGATGATGATAGTCGTCATGGAAGAGAAGAAAAGAAAGAAAAAGGAATCAGAGAGAGGGCGAAGAAGAAGAAGAAGAAGAAGAAGAAGAAGAAGAAGATCGGTAGATTATTGCAATGAAAACATTTTCATTAATAAGTGCCTAGACAGAAAATGAATGAAATTTGAAGTTCTCGGGAATCGCAAGTAGTATAGATTTTGCCGCTGCTTTCGTGAGCGGTAATAATATTTGCCCTTCGTACATAGAGTTAAGAAACATTTCTAGGTATATATGGTGCCGTGGTCCTGCTATATATTTAGAGATTCTTGATAAAATCCAAAGACGAATCAAAATCTTATTTCTCCTGTACTGACATCTCGGTTTCAGTCCCTTTCACACAGCCGTAATATATCTTCCCTGTGCCTTTTCTATAAATACTTTCATGGTAATTGTTCTGATGAACAAACCTCTATGGTACCACAACTTCAAGCGCAGTACTAGATTGGCAGCTAGGTCTCAAACTTTTACAGTTGAAATGGCAAGATGTAACCGTAATTTCTCTGTTAATAGTTTCTTCTCTCGCACTTCTCGCTTGTGGACCTCACTTCCGGCTCCATATTTTCCAGTTGACTATGATCTTCAAACTTTTCTTTATTCTCTTTATATAATATTGAATCATTGACAACTTATTTGCATTATATACATAATAGCATTTGTTTCTGACCACGAACAATAAATTCCATCATGATTTTCGATTCATTTGTATTTGAAAACGATATATAAATGTTTATATATCAATTTTAGAGAAAACCTATGAGAAAGCTGTAAAAGTTTTCGTGCGACAAGTTTCCTTCTATAAGATTTCATCGAAAACTATTTTAATCGTTATCGTCTGTGTTCTTAATTCTTGTTCATTTAATGTTTCCTTTCGTTAACTGTTTCTTTTTTGTTACATTCTCAAACATTCGGTACACTTCTTTGCGTCTTAGAGGCTTTATTGCCTTGCTTGGGAAACAATTAGAATTAGGTGCAAGAGTAACTGTTTATGGTCATTGTCCTATTTTATGCTGTAACAAAGAATATTATAAGAATAATGCAAATGAATTATTAATTATTTTACTACTGAATGATTATTGTTATTTCATATATATATATATATATATATATATATATATATATATATATATATATATATATATATAATGTAAATTCATGACTAGGATCTGAATATGCAAATTAATTTTTATATATCAAGAACAATTTTAGGGGAAAACTATGACAAAGCGGAAACAGTTTTCAATGAAGTCCTATATAATGAAACGCATCACACAAAGGAATTTACGCCTTTATCATAGATTTTCCCTAAAATTGTTCTTTATTCTAATATTATTATACGTTATTTATATAGACAAAAATATTAACGTAAATGTTCTGTTTAAAATAAACGGTATTAACAACACAGCCTGAATATCCGAGAAATTTAATCGAAAATAATCGTTCTTCGACAGGAATCGAACCTGTATCCTATACAGATCCGTCATATAGCCTGACGTGCTATGCCAGTTTAGCTAAAGAGGAGCGTCTGGTTAGCAATGTTGATTTTATTGCTTTTATACTACAAATTCCTCATTAAGATACGCTTCTAACAGATATGGACGCTCGAGGGAAATCATGGGAAATTTGTAGTTTAAAAGCAGTAAAATCGACCTAGATAACCAGATGCTACTTCGTAGCTAAACTGGTATAGCACGTCAGGCTACATGTTCTTCAAGTAGGATAGATTCGATTCCTGTCGGAAAAAACTGCTATTTTCAATGAAATTTTTCGTACATTCAGGCCGATAAATGTTGTTTAATACTGTTTTATTATAAAAATATATATATATATATATATATATATATATATATATATATATATATATATATGTGTGTGTGTGTGTGTGTGTGTGTGTGTGTGTGTGTGTGTGCACATAACGCAAATTCATTTTTTTAAGTTTAATGTTATAGAAAGAGAATATGTCTGAGAAATCACGAAGAAATGGATTGTCAGCGATCAATGACATAGGCGTTCTTATCAAAAAGCATCGGAACTTTTGCTATAGTAACGAAGGCAAAAGGATGCAGTTTGGAGCCGCTTGGCACATATTGACCTTGAACTCTGTTGCGCATATACACTATGTTATTACGTTCTCGCTCATTTCAGTTGTTTTTAAAAAAGAGCTTAAATGGAAAGTGTGTAGAGTGTGGTCGTCTCACAATACCACAGAATTTCCATCGCTGACCACGGCTTGCGCAGCAGTTTTTGGTCAAGCACACATTCTCAGGCCCGACAACTACCAGATTCCCCAAATCTCGACACTTGTAACATTTTCCTTTTCAAAAATCAAATCCCACTTGAGTGGAGTAAGATTTCAAGACGACATGGAAATCCAAGGGAACTCGACGAGAAAGCTGCTCGCTATACCCCCTCCAAAAAAAAATTCGGGAATGCTACCATCAATGTAAACGTCCCTGGATAAAGTGTGTGACTTCAGAAGGGGGACTACTTCGAAGGAGATTAAATGCCGAATTGATATGTGTTGTAGTTTTCTTATTATAGCACCCATCCCGATAATTTTTTATCAAATCTCATAATAGCTATCATGGGTATGATGTAAAAAAATTCTTTGATAATATATTACAGGAAAAATTCGATATCTTTTTATACCTACATGTGACCATCAGTTCATTTATCATGTTTAATAAGTTCGGGTTAATTAAGTGTTTTAAAATAACTATTTTTTCGACAAGACATAAATTACATCTTTCGCCTTTCTTCTTGTCAGATTTGCTTTTTTTTCTACATTATCCCAGGTAATAATGGGAGTATTACTATCATAGTCAGGAGTCAGGAAACAAGGCAAAGATTACTGAATGTACATACCTATTATATACATAACGGAAATGCATTACTAATGATTTTATTACAGTAATTTCAAAGAAAATCGCGGAGAAAGTGATTGTCAGTAGTCGGGAATGAATTCAAGTATTACTGAAGGAA